CTTGTGTAGGTCCACAATCTTGTCCCTGACATCCTTGGAAAGCTCTTTGGTCTTGGCCATGGTGAAGAGTTTGGAATCTGGATTGATTGATTGCTTCTGTGGACAGGTCTCTTTTATACAGGTAACGAGCTGAGAGGGCTCCCAATGTCAGCTCGTTACCTGTATAAAATACACCTGGGAGCCAGAGATCTTGCTGACTGATAGGGGATCAAATACTTATTTCATTCATGAAAATGCAAATTAATTTATAACTTTTTTTGTAATGCATTTTTCTGGATTTTTTTTTTTTTTGTTATTGTTGTGTCTCTCACTGTTCACATAAACCTACCATTGAAATTGTAGACTGATCATTTCTTTGTTAGTGGGCAAACTTACAAAACCAGCTGGGGTTCAAATAATTTTTTCCCTGACTGTATATGCTAGCTAGCAGTTGGCTGTAGTCTGTGTAGTGTGTTCAAGTGTTCAACCTGACTGGCCAAAGCCAACATGGGGCAACACAGAGTTTGGCCTTCGTCGCTGCTAGTTCATTCATATCAGCTGGTGTGTCTCTGCTCATAGGCTAAGTTACTTTGTACTTACCTGCTACTTTAGCTAACATTAGCCTTTTGGAAAGCACACCATTAGCTAATCAAAGCAACTATTAAATAAGGACAACATAACCTCAGTTGGTTTACTAATCAAATATAACATACAACCTCTCTGTATAAGTTGATGTAAGTTAGAAAGTAAATTTAGTGCTTCAGTGTATTTGCTTTGTAGCTAACTTCTAGTATTTAATGTTATTTAAAGGTATAGTCAGCGACTCTAGAAAAGTAATATTTACATACTACAGCTATTACAACACCACAGACTTGTCATGGCATTTTTCACCCAGTCTCTTGAAGATTTGCCACAAATAACTGTCAATGATGTTAGTCAAGATTCTTCAAACATCATGTCATACCTTCACAAGTAAAAAAGGAGAAGGGCTTCAAATGTTATGTTTCAAGCTACATCCATAATTAATAAGGTAAGATTTGGATCTGTAATGTTAACCTATAGCAAGCTTGTGTACTAGCTATAGCTAATGTTGATATTTGTCACTGAACTATTGTCACACATTTCCTAAAGTCATTGTCAGTCTCATTTTCAGAGAGGTGACCATTAGGGCTGTAATGTACAACTCTATGAGGAAAAGCCAAAAGCCTCACAGCTTGAGTGTAAGGGAAAGTTACCCTGTAGGCTCACTGCAGGCTGGCTCAAGAGTAACTAATGTTAGCAACGTGGACTGACCTGAGCATTCATGAGCATTTTGTGAATCATCAAATACCATGCACAAGTTACAGCTAAATGATTAGTCATTTTCAAATCAATATTGCTATTTAAGCATACAATTTAAGATGCCATGATAATATATTTTAAAACTCTACAGATTATAAACAATCAGAAAGGTGCCCCTGCAGGCTGCAGGTGAAAACTGGGGAGAGTGAGTGAGAGTGGATGAAGAAAGACAGCCCACTGTGTTCTGTGTGGCCTCACCCGTGTCCCTCTCCACTGTCCATTCGGTCCCACAGCTCCATCCACCCACTTACTGTTTATTTGTCAGTATCTTTAACAGCATTAAACACTGAGGCAGCCGGAGTGCACTGTTGTTGACTTGCTATACACAAATAACGATGTTACGTACAGTAACCCATGCTTCTATGAGTATAGGCGTAGCCCTCTAAGAGCTGTCGCTATTGGGTTCACCACTCGTGCTTGTGCAGTCCTGAAGAGATTCTTTCGCGCCCTGTGCCCTGCACTGGGCTGCCCCCAAAACAGGTCTGCTGCGATGGCATAAATGCCACTGTGACCTGCGATCGGCTCCCTACACTTTTTCTTCAGCTGGTGGGGGCGGAGACAGCAGGGCTGCCAGCTTAGAGGGCTACACCTATACTCATAGAAGCCTTGGTTACTGTACTTAACCATCGCCCTGTTTCGCATAGGCTTTGTACTCTAAGAGCTGTCACTATTGGGTCCACTGGAGTTGGCCCTCCTGTGTTGAGCCATGCGTTTGTGAAGCGGCTGCTTAGTTTCACCAATGTACAAGTCATTGCACTCCTGACTGCACTTAATTGCATACACCACATCACTCTGTTTGTGTCTGGGTGTTTTGTCCTTCGGGTGGACCAGTCTCTGCCGCAGGGTGTTCCCTGGTTTACAGTTAACTGGGATGAAGGTCACAGCTGCTCTGACCAGTGCCAAGCTCCCACCCCCAAACCTAACCCTTGAGGAAAGGAGGGCCTTAGCTACACTAGAGAAGGATGAAAAAGTCACAATCCTTCCAGCGGACAAAGGCATGTGCACAGTAGTCCTAAACTCAGCTGACTATCAGACCAGAGTTTCCGACCTCCTCAGTGACACCACCACCTATGAGGCATTAAAAGGGACCCCACCAGTGGCTACAAGAGGAAAGTTATAGACTGTTTACAGAAGCTGGAAAAGGAGGGGGTTATCGACCGGCGACTATACTACAGACTATACCCTGGGGAGGCCATCCCTTGCATCTATGGCCTACCAAAAATACACAAGGAAGGAGCCCCTCTCAGACCCATTGTCAGCAGCATCAACTCCGTAACTTACAACTTAGCCAAGCATGTGGCCACCATCCTGGCGCCTTTGGTGGGAGACACACAGCACCATATAATAAACTCCCAGGACTTCGCAAGGAAAGTCCAACAACTGCAGCTGGAGCAGGACGAGACCATGGTCTCATATGATGTCACATCCTTATTCACTTGCATCCCCACCACAGAGGCTGTCAGGGCAGTGAGGAAGAGACTGCTGAAGGATGACACGTTAAACAACAGGACTAGCCTCACCCCAGACCATGTTTGCACTCTGCTGGAACTCTGTTTAAACACTACTTACTTCCAGTTTAGGGGGCACTTCTATAGGCAACAACACGGCTGTGCTATGGGCTCCCCAGTGTCTCCTATAGTTGCCATGTACATGGAAGAACTTGAGAAGAAAGCCCTGGTTTCCTTCGCTGGTACCGCTCCCAGCCATTGGTTTCGCTACGTGGATGACACATGGGTTAAAATCAGGACCCAGGAGGTAGAGGCTTTCACCAAGCATATCAACTCGGTGGATGACAACATCAATTTCACTCGTGAGGACGCCAGGGATGACTACCTGGCCTTTCTGGATTGTGCAGTCCACTTGGGAGGGGACAGAAGCCTGAAAGTAGAAATATATCGGAAACCTACACACACAGACCAATACCTGCTTTTTGACTCACACCACCCACTTCAACACAAACTGGGAGTCATCAGAACTTTGAATCACAGGGCAGAGGAAGTGCCCACAACGGTAGAAGGGGCCAAGAAAGAAAAATTACACATCCAGAACTCCCTT